TTTGTTCCTCGAATGCTTTCAGGGCATGTTTGGCCAGCGGGAGAGTTGTGAGGTTCGAACTCCAGCAACCCGAGGCTGACAGCTTTGTGGAAGCAGCTACTTAAAGGACTGAGCTAGGGCCAGGCCCCCATTCAGAGCAGTTTGGGCTCATAACCAAAACGAGCTGGAGGTAGAGATTCCCTAGATACCCACCACTGCCTCCTGCCGCACCCGCTCCACTGCCTCCCGCCAAGTGCTGCTTCCTTCCCCAGCCTCTTCCTTCTGCCCTGTCATTCGTGCAGCACACCCACTGCCTGTGCAAGCCCAACCTCTAGTTTCCCTGATTCTTCTTTTTATGTCTTTTCTTCTCTTTCTGTTCTTTCTCCTTTTTCTTTCCTGAATGCCCCTCTTTATCTTCTCTACTTTTTTCTTTTCTTTTCTTTCTTTCTTTCTTTCTTTCTTTCTTTCTTTCTTTCTTTCTTTCTTCCTTCCTTCCTTCCTTCCTTCCTTCCTTTCTTTCTTTCTTTTTCTTTTTCTTTTTTTTTTTTTTGGTGGCCGGCACAGCACACCCATATATTTGCTGTTTTTGACACACGGTCTCACTATGTAATTCCGGCTGGCTTTGAACTCACTATGTAACCCACACTGGCCTCAAACCTGCAACGATCTTCCTGCCTCAGCCTCCTGAGTGCTGGGATTATAGGAATGTGTGACCACGCCCAGCCATATTTTTGTCTTTTTAAATAATCATAACTGTTTTATAACTTTTTTACCTCCTCATATGTCACAAGCATCTTTCAGTGCCAAGGATTGTATCTACCTCATCATGTTTAAATGTGTTTGCTAATTCATTTCATAATTAGGGATTGAACCCAGTGCCTTCAAACTTTCATATGGTTTTTGAGACAAAGTCTCACCAAATTGCCCACACTGTGCTCAAATGTGCAATCCTCCTGCTTCAGCCTCCCAGAGTGCTCAGGTTATAGGCATCGACCACCACACCCAGCTATAATGTTAGTTTTTAAGCAGTTTCCCATTGATAAACAGATTGATTACAATTTTTTATTATTATGACCAAAATATTTCTGTGTTCATAAACGTCTTCACCCGTACATGCTTATATGCTATTGAGTAGAGTGCTCAACACATAATAGGTACCTGGTAAATGTTTAGTGAATACTTGCACTTTTCTTTTAATGAGATGCCGTTCATCAAAGTAAAGACAATAGTGGTGGGGGGAAAACTACCCGCTCGGGCCCCCCTTCTGTCCCTCTCTCAGGACAGGAGCTTTCTTTCTCTCAATAAATATATTCTGCTCATAAAAAAAAGACAATAGTGGTGAGAGTGGGAGAGGGAGGTGAAAGCAGCAGACTCTGACTCTGACCAAGGGCCTCTCTGCTGTCACAGCTGTTGAACGGATGTTCCAGGAAGATGACCCTGAAATCCATAATTTGGCAGAAATAACCCACAATCTTTTAAAGAAAATAGCCAATAGATCAAGATCCGCAACTATCAAACATGCTATCCAGAGATTCTTTAAGTTCTCCTACTCCAAGGAACTAAAACTTCTTTATAACTGGAAAAGTACCACAGAGAAAGACCTGTAAGCTTCTTATCTTAATAACCTAAGTCTGTTTGTAGTTGCTTTTCTGAAAGATGCTATGAGCTCTCATTATCCCTTATAAATCCTCTATTAAAATGTATAAATCTGAAAACTCCAGAAGTGATCAGAAGCCCTACATCATCAACCCCACTAAGTCAACCGAAATAACCTAAGTCCTTCCTCAGCATTAGTGGGGATTAGGGTCTAGGACCCCAAAAGATCTAAAACCTGCAGTTGTTTAAGTCCCTTACCCAAAATGGTATAGTATTTGTACTAGATAGATAGACAGATAGATAGATATAGATATAGATATAGATAGATATCTTTCCAAATATTTTATATTTTATATTACTTATAATGCTTCATGCTATATAAATACTTGCTATATGGGATTGTTTAGGAAATAATGACAAAAATATGCAGATTTAGTACAGACACATATATTCTAACATTTCTCACTCGTGGTTGGTTGAGTCGAGGATGTGGAGTCCATAAATGTGACTTACACCCAACTGTATCAGCAAGGTTTAGGGCAAAGCTCTTGGAAGTGGATTCAGTAAGCACATACTGAGCAGCTTCTTCAAGCCGCACACATTCGAGGCAGTGGGGGTGTTTGAGTGAGATAGATTAGGTTCCTCTCCCCAGGGTGGGCGATCCAGGGACAAGCAGTATGGGCATCCCAGCTCACTGGGCGAGGAAATGCCTTTTCTTCTACCCATGAGAGTGTGGTGTTTTGTAGTGTGTCAACTTGTAGTCAGTGGTACTTTCATTTCTCTTTTTATTTCTTCATAAATGAAATAGAAAAGAAATAGTGGATCAGGAGACATTCCAGCTGCCCCAGGACCCTCCACCTTCTGACTTCTGAACCAGGTGAGTTGAGTTTTCTAAGGGAAAGGACGCCAACTCCTCCTGCAGGACCCCGGCATGACGAGCACCTGTGGCGGAGGCAGGACGCTCCACACACTCTTGGGTTCGTGAGGTCTGCCTGTCCTTCCTTCCCCCACTTCACTGCCTGCCTTGCTGATTGCAGGCTCCAGGGTCAGCTGAAGATGATAAGCTGCAGAGACTACCTGCCCAGCTCCTCCCCCCGCCTGAAGTCACAGCCTTGGTTCTGCTTCTCTGATCAACCCCTGACAATACGGTGTCTGGGACACCCTTCCACACCTTCTTGCTTCAGGTCAGGGTGGGCATTGCTCCTATCATTTGCCTTAAGGCCCTGTGATTGTACCTTTCATTACGTTTATCAGACTGGAATAAAATGCTCTATTTTCCTTCTGCCCCACAAAACTGAAGTGTCTTGAAAGCAGCTGTCGTATTTTGTACTTGGTTGTATAATTTGGAACTGACACCTAATTAGATGCCTGACACCTAATGTATGCTTGATGAATATTTGCCAAACTAATAAAGTGCTAGTAGAATGTATTCCTCTTGTACTGCAGTAAACTTTTTCGCATGCTTATAAGTGCTATTTAATGAAAACAATGAAAGAATGGAGTCTTTTGATTTTTCCCTTAGCCTATGTTATTTTATATTTCCTAGTAGTCCCAGGCTCACCATTAAAAATTAGGGCAAATTTCCATTGCCAGCTACTAAACTATCAGGATGCCTTGAGAACCAAGGTAAATAAAGACTCCCTCAAAGATAATCAATTCCTACTCCCCAGAGCCTCAGAATGTATTGCTTTACAAGGCAAAAGAACTGTGTTTCCAGAGCATAGGTGCCTACTCACCCTCAAGCAAAGTCACGGTAATAATAGTTGATCGAACTTGGTCAGCAGTGCGTGTCAGATGCTACAAAGTGTTTTGCTTCCTGGTTCTCGCAGTATCTGAGCTGTCAGCCATTATTTCAACGCCCACAGGACAGACAAGTAATCTGAGCGAGTGTAAGGATGAGCCAGGGATGTATTTGCACTCAGGGACTCCAGGGCCAGAGTGCTTAATCTCTCCACCACTGTACTTGCCTTACATGGATCTGTTTTACCCACTAAGTAGAAACCCAGTTTTCCCATTAGAATCATTTAGGCTCTTCAAAAAAGAAGAAAAAGAAGAAGGAGAAGGAGAAGGAGGATAAGGAGAAAGAGAAGGAGAAGACGAAGACGAAGACGAAGACGAAGACGAAGATGAAGACGACGACGACGACGACGACGACGACGACGACGACGACGACGAAGAAGAAGAAGAAGAAGAAGAAGAAGAAGAAGAAGAAGAAGAAGAAGAAGAAGAAGAAGAAGAAGAAGAAGAAGGAGAAAACACGCTATTCCAGATTGCTTATATCAGAATCTTTGGGCATGAGGCTCAGGAATCTGTGTGTTTCAAGAATACAGGTAGACCCAGGCATAGTGGCATACACTTGTAATCCCAGCACTCAGGAGGCTGAAGCAGGAGGATTGCTGTGAGTTCAAGGCCAACCTGAGATGCACACTAAATTCAAGGTCAGCCTGAACTTAGACTCTGTCAATAAAAAAAAAGGTGGATCTATAGAAGATAATATTGGTTTTTTCCATAATTTTATTGAGACAAATAGCAATGAGACAGTTTCTTTTTCTTTTTCTTTTTTTTTTTTTTTTTTTTCTCAGAACCAGGGATTGAACTCAGGCCCTTGCCAGGGAAGCGCTTATTCCACTGAGCCAGCTCCCCGGCCCCTGAGGGAGTTTCAAATCAAATTAATAAGACAGTTTCAATAATCAACACATTGCATACTGTCTTCTTAGTGTTTATTTGTTGTACAAGATGCAGACATGATATCCTATTTACAAACACTATTAGAACAAATCCATCTATTCCTTGAATTAAGAGAATGTAGCTGTATATCTATCCTAACCATTTTAAATACACATATACAAAATGGACATTCATCTCTATCCCCTTTTTTTGTTAAGTTCCGTTATTTGAATATTATAGGTGTGTAAACTCAGCAAAATATTCTAAAAGAGTCCAGTAGTCCATAATAGTACTGGGGCTTCCACTTGACTGGCAATGTCAGAAATTGTTGACCTGAGTCCCCCACAGCTCAACCTAACAGCATGGCTTTACTTCTTATATTTCATTTTTATACTTTTCTACTGGATGGTTAAGACCAAGGTAAAGCACAACTTATGCAACAAGAGTTGTAGCTTTTGAGTTTGATAAGGTCAGTGAAATCCCCTCAGGATTTATCCTGAGACCCTGTACCTCAGATTGTAGAACCTTTGTCAGTGTCAGCCATGTGGATGAGTCACAGCCATTGCTTGGCCAATGTGCTCTCTGTGAAAGCGTGAGAGAATGTTTTCTCTCCATGTGACTCTCCTTAGGCACACTCTACCTCATTGATCACTTTCCTCTTTGGCCCCATAATCTTCTTGATCAGAAAATTTGGGACACTACCGAGTTACATGATGTTACAGTACAAGTTCTCATACGGCCTGAGTGTTAATTGACCTTGGAAGGCTAGGGCCAAAAGAGCCCAACATTTATTTATTTACACACAAACATTTATTTAGTGCTTAGCATAAGCAATTGGGAAATATAATATGTATTAAATATTTCCAAATGTATATTTCAAATAATGTATTAGCAGTCCTTTTCTTTCTTTCTTTTTTTGTTTTGTTTAACATATTTGGTACAAGGTCTCACTACACAGCTCAGACTCATAGTGATCCTCCTGTTTTCAGCCTCCCCAGCAATGGGATTACAGGCTTGTGCCACCACACTGTGTCTCAGTAGCTGGCTCAGAGTGCCTGGAGGCGGGGCCGGCAGAGCATGTGGTGCCAGGGATGGTCCCTGTGCTTAGGCAGGAGTTTAGTCCACTGAGCTATGCATTAATTTGCATCTTAATGTTTACTTTTGGTATATTTTATTTTTTTATGTATTTAGTACAGGGCCTACAGGGTCTCACTATGTAGAGCAGACTCATAGGGATTCTCCTGTTTTCAGCTTCCCAAAGCCTGGGATTACAGGCGTGTGCCACCACCCCCAGTCTCCATCGCTTTCTCAGCATGCCCCAGGGGCAGGACTGGCACAGCACTCTGGGGATAAAACCCCCAGCCCATGGGCAGGTACTTTAATCCATTGAGCAGGGGCTGGGGAGATGGCTTAGTGGAATAAGTGCTTCCCTGGCAAGCACAAGAGCCTGAGTTCAATCCCCAGTTCTGCCGAATAAGAAAAAAAAAATTAATCCACTGAGCTATTTGGTTGGCCCTACTTTTTTTTTTCAGTGCTTAAATGAACACTGGTGCCAGGATGATAAAGAGTGAATCATGTGTCTTACACTGTTCACATGAGTAAAACAGAGGCCCACTGGGAGATGGCTTTCTGGCAGGACTGTGTCCTATGTCCTTCTAGCAACAAATGAGGAGCTGGCTTCATGCAGAGACACTGCTGCTATCATGGTTCTTAGCACGGAGCCTGGGAGAGCCATGGGTATGCATCCTGGCCTCTCTGCTCCGTAGCTGGGAGCCTTAAGCGCCTCCCACGGCTGGCATGGGGTTTTAAGAAGTTTTCATGTAATAATTGTACAAGGATGGTTTACGCAGTATTAAAGATGTAAACACTAACACTAGTCAATGGATCAGTGAACGCCCATCGCTCATCTCCCCACCTTCCTCATTTGGCTTCCTGAGTTTGCCAGCACAAAGTTCCCGGGAGCCCCTCCCTCTGCAGAGCTCACCCACCCCGACTCCCAGCCCACGTGCTGAAAGAATCCTGGCCCAGCCAGGTGGGAGAAACCTGGGCACATCACTCTCATAGTTCTAGTGTGTTCTTTCCCTGATACGAGAGACCCAAAATATAAATAAAGAGCAGGAGAAAAAACAAAAGAGCCCTGAGAGAAACAGACATGTAGACTCTGTAGGAATGGGCAGGGGCTCTAGGAAGGTAGACAAAGAGGAGAGTGGAGGAAAAATGACCAAGATGCCATATGGATATGTAACCCCCCATGCTTACTGTAATCACTATGTGCAAAAATCCAACAGCGAAAAAATTTTTAGAAATTCTATTTAGATATCTCACAGACATAGAGAAATCATTCCTAAAATTTATCTGGAACTGGAAAAGACCTAGAATAGCAAGGGCAATTCTGGGCAATAAAGACAAGGCAGGTGGCATTACTATTCCTGACTTGAAA